AGGTGTCAGTTCTTAATTGGATGGTTCAGTCTTAAAAGCCCTTGTACCAGGAGATTGTTGGCCATTTTGTGCCTTCTATTGAAAAGCTGCTGAACTGACAGTAGTGACGCTGTTTTACTGATAAGAAATAATTAATGCCTGAGTCCAAACATGAAACCACTGTCTCAAGTGCCTTCAAACCAATAGGGAGGCACCTGCTGCAGCTTCTCCAAGGGCCTACACTACTTCTGTCTGTCTGAGCAGCTTCTTGCATAAGCATGACTGAAAAAAACCCCAACAAGTTTGCTATCACAAAAGATTAACAGATCTTATTTCTTCCCTTGGCTTCAGCTTTCCTCAGCGCCACCTGACAGATCTTGTCATTATCTGGAAATGCTCAGGATAAACAGAACTGCTCGAGAGCTTACAGTGGGGAGAGCATCTTTTGATGGATCAACACTGCATTTTCCAGCCCCAGCTGAGGGTCTGGCTCTGCTGTGTCTCAACACTCACATGCATACAATATTTGGTTTTGTTCTTACAGCACGGTGCATTCTAGGTTTCAAGTACTGAACATGTTTTGTCCCCATTTCTTTTTCTACATTTGTATTACCTAGCCTAGCTGTTGAGGGTTTAGTTGGAAGAATAATTAATGTTTGGTTGATAATCTGAATCCCAACAGCTCATCCCAGACAATCTTTCTTGACAGCAAATCCCGCGCCGCAGAGATTAAGGAACACATTTTTCAAATGTCAGCAGATGAGGGCTGCATGCAGAAACGCAGCCACACTCACCAGCACAGCCTGTCCTCTGTGCCCTGTGTCCCCAGCATTCCCACCACAGCATTCCTGAGCCACAGCCCTGCTCTGAAGTGATGGCGTGCAGCATGAATGCATTCAGGAATTCACCAGAAGTGCATGGCACCGGACACTTGTGCATGCAATTATCTGACCTGAGCACCCAACACGCCTCTGCCTCTTGGGGCTGCACATTCTGCAACCCAAAGCAGCTGAGGTTTAAGTGCCTGCAACAAAAATAGAGAAGAAGCCTTCATTTTTTAAAATCTGGCACTGGTTTAACTTTTTTTTTTTTATTTTTTCTTTTTTCTGAATGCGACAGAAAGGAAGTGTTCTCCAACAAAAGATAAATGACAATCAGAGCTGGAATGTTAATATGCCTGGGTATGGGAAACAAGCAGGATGAGCCAGAAAGGAAGCAAACATTGCTGGGGGATAATCCCAAATGGAGAGGTTCTGTCAGGGCTGCTCCTTCAGAAAGAAGGATGCACAGGGACAGGAGAGAAGAAGGGGAAAAAATTTTGAAAACCACTAGCAAAGGATTTGGAGTAGAAATACTGTGGTTTTTTTGAATGAAGGAGGGAAAAAAATGGGGAAACTGGAACTGATGACCATTGGATGTCACCAGGCCCCCTTGAGAAGTCTCACAATTGCCATTGCCAGCTTAATTTGATACCCAGAGAGCACCAGCAGGTGAAGTTCAGGGCCCTCTTTTTGCTTTTTGCTGGTGAGACAGCATCCCCTGGGCTGCCTCTTCCTCTGGGGGGGAGAATGGCCTCAGAGGAACCTGCACACATTCTACTCAAGAGGAGAGGAAGAGTTTCTGTGTCTGTATTTTATGAGATTAGGCTTCACAGTACCTGGTACTTGCCTGAATCCAAAAAATGGTCATCAATTCATCCACCACCAAAAGATAAGGCAGTGCTCATTAGGGAGATATTTGGCATTAGTGGCCAAAGTATGTTTGTTTCCCAATAGGTTGTTTCATGGTAGTAAACCTGGAGGACATGTGAAAAAAGGCCAGCACCTTACCAGTCACAGCGATCTCTAGCTATTCACTGGAAATGCCAGGTGTGAGTATCCTCCAGACACCACAGCAAACACCAAATATGTACATATAAAAATAAAAACTATTAAATATGTAAACATGTAGAAATAGACTAAATATATAAATATGTAAATATATACAAATAGACTAAATATGTAAATATAAAAATACATATTTATATATAAATATATATATAATAAGAGCCAGGAGCTCTCAAGTATGTAAATATAAAAAATATATATTATATACATTAATAAATCAATGAAGTATATATTAATATAATAAATTATATATATAAATATATATTAATATAGAAAATATATAATTTATACATTTATTTATTAATATATAATATATATTTATATATTTATATATTTATATATTTATATATTTATATATTTATATATTTATATATATTTTATATATATTTTTGTATTTACATACTCTGAGAGCATACATACTTTCAGAGTATGTAAATATAAAAAAAATATATTATATATATTAATAAATCAATAAAGTATATATTAATATAATAAATTATATATATAAACATATATTAATATAGAAAATATATTTTTAATACATTTATTTATTAATATATATATAATAAGAGCCAGGAGCTCTCAGAGTATGTAAATATAAAAAAAATGTATTATATCTATATTAATATATAAACAAATAAATTATATATTAATAGAATAAAGATATATATTAATATATATTAATATATAAAATATGTACATTTTTATATATTTATATATAAATATACATATAATAAGACCCAGGAGCTCTCAGAGGAGGATGATTTGAGGGAGAGGGTGGGCACAGTGGGCAGAGAGGTCTGTAATCACCTGGTGCAACACCCACGAGTCATCTTCCACCACATCCCGCTGCACTTTCCCCCTTCCACTCTCGCTGCCACTCTGAGGAGCTCAGTCTCTCCAGGAAAGTGTCCTCACAGGTCAGGGCTGGTGGGAAAAGGAGTTTTCCTCTCACAGTGTGTCTGCTGCAACAGAAAATGACTCAGTTGCTCCCTTCTCCTTGCAGGACAATCCTTCACCCAGCTTGTCACTGACCTGCTTGCAGCAGGTGACTCTCAGCCCAGCACCCAGAGGACAGAGCTGTGAAATGCCACCAAACACAAACCTCTAAGAGCCTCAGCAGCCTCCATCAAGTAGAAATAATGGCACCTTGCCTTTTTTTAGAAGGAGTATCACTTCCTTGGATAAATGAAAGAAACAGGATTCTGTTTTTATTTTCGCACTCCTGCAGCTCTTGGGGCCTGTTTCTGTTGCAGGCAATGGCTGTGCTGCCTGCAGCACGCGGTGACACTCGGCTCCAGGGCCTCCTACACCCACCAGGGCTGGGGCTGTGCTCTATCAGCCAGGTTTGCTGGCTCTGACTGTGCCCAGCTCCCCCTCAATCCCAGCCCTGTCTGACTGGAGGCTTTGCTGCTCCACAGCTCTGTGCACACAAGTCAGTTTTCAATCACCCTCCCAGGCAATGAGCACTTTGCAAACACAAAACCCACACAGAAGACTCTCTTAGGGACTATGGAATGTTGGGTGACCCAAGCTCCTTGAAGAGATCATGAAATTTGGCAATACACATTTTCTACAACGCCTCTTGGGACTCAAGCTGCATCCTTTAATTGCAAGGCTGGTGAGAGCTGCTTTGTGATTTGCAGAGGGTTTGTTCAACGAATTCATTACACAAACATTTAGTGAGAGGTGATGAACCCTTCCTCACCTCCCATCCAATGAAGCATTAGCACCACCAGTTGGTCACCAGCCCTGAATAACACCCAGCCCCAGAGCTTTGCTCAGGCTCTCAAGAGCAACATGCTGTGCCATCCAGATGTGCTGTTTGGTTGGCCTGGAGCTGAGGAAAGTCATGTTAAAATTGCAGCAGCGCATATTTTTTTTTCTGGGTTTGTTGATTGTACCTGATCTGTTCCAGCTTGAAATTCGAAGCTCGCTAATGAGGGAATCAGAAATCCATAATGAGGAGGTCAGCTAAATCCCAGATCACTCAGCACAGTCATATTTTTCACTTCACTGGTGAAAGGCTCAGGAGGATCCAGAGAAAACACTATTGGTGACTTGGGCTCCTTGAGCATCCTGATCCAAAGGTGTGCTAATCTGCAGAGGGATGTTGGGCTGGCTTCCAGTTCTCAGGGCAGGAAAATGCCCTGGGACTCACACAGCTCTCTGCAGGGATGGGCATGCCTTCAAAGAGAGGTGTGGACACCTCTTGAAGGGTGCATCCACTCTTTGCTCGTAGAGTTTGCATAAACTGCAAATACTTTCCCTTTTCCTGGTTCTCTGCCTTCCCTTTCACTCGTGATTGCTCATAAAGAGTGCAGGAATTTCACAACACCAGCAGAGATTTCAAGTTTCATCCCTGCAGCATTATTTTTGCCCCTGGTGAGGGGAGAGAATGATGCATCTGGCTCCACCTTATCAGAAGGCTAATTAATTACTTTATTATACTGTATTATTCTATATTATATTACATTACATCTGAACTGAATCTGCCAAGCACTCAACTCTGCACACACTGCACAGAATCTTGTGGCTGTCACCCACAGTCCTGACACACACACACCTGGCCCTGATAGACCAAGGAAACAAAACACCTTCACTGTGGGTAAATTATCTCCACCTTGCATTCTGCTTTGGCACAAACACAGGCACAGCAAATGAGATAAGAATTGTTTTTCCTTTCTCTGAGGTTCAGAGAATGTGAATCTCAGAAATATTCATGGGAAGAACTGTGCCTTGCTTTTCTCTGTGAAGAGAAATGTGGCTACACATCCCCACCTCTCCCCTGGCATCACCCAGGGACCCAGCAGGAACATGAACTACCTTTGTACCTCCTTGCAGGCCTTTTCTGTGGTGAGGGATCTAAAAAAGCCTCAGTGTGAAAGGGACTCTCTGTGTCTGGACTGCTCCAGCCCTCACTTTGTGATGATCACACCCGGGATGGAGGAAGGGCTCTGTCCAAGCCCACACTCTGCAGGGAGCAGCCAGGTGCTGGGGATGAGCAGTATGGCCTGCTCCTTTACAGAAACAATAAAGTGATTATGGACACCCTCCCCAGATTCCAACATCTATAGCTGGCCCACGGCACCAGTTTGATGGGTAGGTGTGGGTGCCTGAGTGCCTCTCATCATCCTCCTCCTCCTCCCTTCCCACCACATCCTGCTGTGGCAGCTGACAGCGGCACCTGGGGCTGCAAAAGCTGATGCACTGTGGCAGGGCTGTCACTTTATCACTCTCACAACTACTGTGGCCAACAAAAGGCAATGCTCGAGGTGCTCAGAGCTCGTTAGGGTTTTTTAATTATTCCTGTTTGTAGCTGGGGCCTCAGTGATGGCTGAGGACTCCTCAGCTGGTCTGGGACAAGCACAGAGCAAGGGCCAGACATGGCCAAGCCATTTTTCCCTCCAGGAGACACAGACACCAAGCCCAGCATTCACCATCCCTCCTGAGGCCTGAGGGACCAAGATCCTGATAAGCAAGAGAGGTGAAAAAGGGGCTTGGACATCATTGTTTCCCACTGAGAAAGTTCTGATGTTCTTTGTGGCACTCTTGCTGTGTGCTTTATGAAATACTCTCCTGGTTTATTCTTGGTAGACTTGTAAAAATAAAAACAATAAAATAAAAAGAAAATAATAAAGTAAATATAAATATAATAATAAAATAGAATATAAATAATATAATATAATATAATATAATTGTAAAATATAATATATAAAATTATAGATAATATAATATTATATATTATATTTTATATATATAATATAATATATTACATATATTATATATATAATATAATATATGTAATATATCAATATATAACATAATATAACATAATAATATATGATATTATGATATGATATGATATGATATAATGTAAAAATAAAAACAATACATTCACATTTCCTTCTTCCTTCATCACAAGGAGCTTCTGTGTGAGGAAATTCCCACAAAAAACTGTGTAAGAGTTGAACACTATATATTTTTTTATATATATATATATATATAAAACACATATATACATATGTGTATATATATATGATGTTGACTAAGACACTGTCAGGGATGAAAAACACAGAGCAGAATATCTCAGCATGATTTTGTGCTGCTGCTGGCACATGGTAGAGGGACTCAGCTCCTTTGAGTAACAGCAGAACTCCTCACCTGGCGTGGCTTTGTGAGATTTATTTTTCCTTTCAAGAGGTTATGTTGGAACCCAGGAAATTCCTCTGGCTGCCCTGGAGGGCTCCAGCCCCTGCCCAGGGGGCTCAGAGACCTTGGCACAGAGCCCAAGACCCCTGTGCCTTTGATTTAGCCCTTGGAAAAAACAATTACCAACCTTATATGAAGAATTACAAGCCACGAAAGTTTAAGTAGAATGATAGTTAGTTTGTCATGGGGTGAAAAAATAGACTTTTGGGGTTTTTGGAATGGGGGTTCAGGGGGAAAGATGGCGGAATTTGGGCGTGTCCAGCCTTTCTCCTTCTTCTTCTTGGCCTCCATCTTCTGCTGTGATGTTGGCACTTTTAGATTGGTTTAAGGTAGAAGCTCACTGTCTAACTAACTAGGTGATAGGTATTGGGAAGTTATTGTAATTATTGTGCACATAGTTTTTAGTATAAAAAATAACACCACCCCAAGGACAGGTAGAGTGTCTCTGTTTGTCCTGCTGAATGGACCTCAGCAGGCCAGAGAAAGAATTTTATAGATAAGAAACAATAAACAACCTTGAGAATGAGAACTGAAGAGTTCTGACTCCTTTTTCGACCATCAGGCTGGAAAAGAGATTTTCCAACACATCTCAGAGTCACTCTGAGCAGCAGAGAGTCTGAGAAGGTAATTAAAATAAAGAAATGATGCAGCCCATGGCTTGGGTGCCTCTCAGAGGCTCTCTGGTGCCCAGAGGGTGGATCAGCTGTGCACCCTCTCTCTGAACAGGCTGGGCCATCTCCAGTGCCACACAGCACTCAGGAGTGGCACTCAGACTGTAAATATTATATGCTGCTGTAAGAACATTTGAATGGTAATACTCGAGCAATTACTTTCCTTTCAAGATCATTAAACACAAATCTGACTTGTATTTTAATAGGGCTGCCAATGTATTTAATGGGGGGCAGTAAAGGGTAGGTTTTTTTTCTAATGGATGGATGTTTATATTATTATCCACTCTGAGAGACCACATTAGGAGGAGCCTGTACAACACTCATGTGTTTTGTCTCAGCCTTTTTTTTCTCAATTCCGTATCTTATAGCGCAATGCCCAAACTGCACCAGCAACCAATTCCACCACCATATTCTGAGACAAAAAAAAAAAAATAAACCAACAAAAACCAAACACACTGAAATGAACTTGTGATTGGCATTTTCATCACGTTTGTATTTATATAGAATATATTATATTATATTATATTATATTATATTATATTATATTATATTATATTAATTACATTACATTATATTGCATTACTTTACATTATATTGCATTACATTACAGTATATTGCATTATGCTATACTAAAATTAAAGAATAAAGATTCTTACAGAAGGTTTAACAAGATAATAAAGAAAAACCTGTGACTCTCCAGAGCCCCAGCATAGCTAGACCCTGATTGGTGATTAAGACAAAACAATTTGCATGAAACCAATCAAACAGTGACCAGTTGGTAAACAAAGTCCAAACCACATCCCAAAGCAGCAAAACACAGGAGAAGCAAATCAGATAATTATTGTTTTCATTTTTTTCTCTGAGGCTTCCCAGGAGAAGAAATCCTGGCGAAGGGACTTTTCAGAAAACATGATGGTGACTTGCAGCCATTCCCATGTGTGCTTGGGCTGCCCAGAAGAGCGGGCAGCAATGGACATGCCATGGGTGGCTGGGTGTGCCCTGGAAGCAGGAGATTCTGTGCCACAGCCCAGGCACACTCACCATCCCTACCCCCAACACAGGGACCCCAGGCTCTCACCAACTTTGGCAGCAAATTGGATAAATTCATTCCTGACTGCTTGTTTCACACTGTTACAACACCTGCATCATATTCCCATGTATTCCTGTATTTTTACTGAATATGGAGTATGGGGTGGGCAAGAAATCAAAGCTGGGCTGGTCCCCATCAGGCTGAGCATTTTGGGAGCTGAGGAAACAGCAATTCCCATACTCTGTGTCCACATTGCACTCCCTCCTTGAAAGCAGAGGCTGGGAATGACTGTGCTGCATGGCTGGTTAGCAGCTGGCAGCCTCTGGACAGCAGTTAGAAAATTTGGAGTATTTTTTGATTGCCATTTGCACATGTACCATAAACACACCCCCTCTCCTGCTAGCTGCAGATAGTTCAGAGAAAATGCGGTGCTGTAGGTGCTGTGGTGTTGTTATCATTCCCAAAATCTGGGGCTCAGAAACACGTCTGCCTACGGTCAGTGCTCCCCATCTTTCAGAATTTAACCATGGACATTTGTGGTTTGGAGCAGCACCCAGCTCAGGACTGTGGGCATGAACCACCTGCACCCTTCCTGAAATGTTTCAGGTACAAATCTGGATGTCTGCTTAATAGGAAACTTTGGGCAGCAATTATTTCAAGCTTAACAAGTAGAGTTTAGGAGATACAATAGGTTTGCATTGTAAACATTGCAATAAAAACCATCAGTAAGGGGGTTTTCAATCCAGAGATCACTCACAGATGGCCAGGAGTTAAAGAATAAAGCAAGATGTGAGGTTTCCTATTTGCATTTTAGTGGGCTACAGCAAAAGCTATGCAGGACCAAAATTATGTACATTTATAAACAGAATCAAAATTATAAACAGAATATATTGGACCAAATTTATAAACCAAATTTACAAACAGAAGATATTGTCCTAATAAATCAGAACATGGTCAGTGGTGAGCGTGCCCCAGGAATGGAATGGCTTTCCCTCTCCTAAAGGGGAGCTTCCATGTTTGGGACTATTACAGAAAACTGTTGACATTTTCTGGGTTAAGGATGGTTATCTGGAATTCATGGATAATTTAGTCCTTTTGCTTGCAGAAATAGTTTGATATGCTCTTTAAATAAGCATATAAAGAGATTGATGTGTGATGTTGGCGGGTTCAGATGTTCTGAAAAGTGATGTTCCTCTATGGAAGAGAATAAAGCTTAAAAGGGGAAATTATTTATAAAAGCACCACCATGCACAGGCAGTGTTTATTTACCATTTAAATGCCTCATTTCTGTTCTGGCTGTCTGTGCTATAATTTGCACAGGCACTTAAACTTGAGTATAAATAAATGCAAAGAAGTGGTGTTTGTGCAGAGTTAAGGAAACCAAGTGCTAAAAGATGGAGGCCACTCCTACCTGATTGAATCAGCCATCTTTGGGGACCACCAAGGAGCCATCCATGCTGGAATTGGAGGAGCTTGACCAGAATATCAGTGCTGAAGGCATGGCAGAGATTTAATGAGGCAGTGTGAGCACCATGACATCTCACCGTGAGTGAATTTTCACTCACCATGAGTGAAATCCCATTCAGGATGGGAACTGCTCTCCTCTGGGCAAAGTGAGGCACTGACTCTGCTCCAGGATGAGCGCCCCAGATGCCAGGGAGCATCCCCAGGATGGCTGGGGACATTTGTCACTGTCCCCTGTAACCAAACTCCTTCAGCTCTGTGCACGCCCACCCACTCCCAAATCCATGAACAACTGCTTTGCTTCTGCATGTCTGACCCCCATCCCATGCCTATGGACATATTTGTGGTAAAAATGCCATTTCACAGTGGTGCAAGGACCTGTCCCACATGGGCCAGGGCAGGCATGGATGGTCCTGGGGTGGGAGGGAGCCTTGAGGTTCAGCTGCTGAACCCAGCAGGAACTGATCCACTCCAGTTTTATGGCTGTGTTTGAAAAGGAAATCTGAGGTAGAGTTTGATTAAATTATTAGGAATATAATTATCATCATATAATCAAATTATAATATTCTGTGAGCAATAGAAACCCATCATCTGGTCACCCTTATTTGTTTGGACAGAAGAGCTGAGTTGTTTTGGCAGAGGAAAGCAAGGCACCAATTGCTTAATATCCATGAAAAGGGTGAAAAAATGGCATCTTTTTTCACCTTGTTCCAACAAATTCCTGCCTGGAGCTCCTCAGAGCAGGCAGTGGGGACACAGATGGGTGTGAGGAAAGGTTCATGCCACTCACCTCTGCTGCAGTCTGTGGGGAAGGTGTTCTCCCTGAGCTCTCCTCCCCAAACATCAGCCTTGACGCCTTGCAGAGCACAGCTTTGCCATCTCCTGCCCTGACAAAGTGGCAGGAAAAGCATCTCCAGCAAGGAAAGGCCACTCCACAGTGAGGGAGAACAGCTTTGCCATCTCCTGCCATGACAAAGTGGCAGGGAAAAGCATCTCCAGCAGGGAGAGAGGCCACTCCATAGTGAGGAGCACACCTGGGAGCAGTGCAGGAGCAGGGCTGCACCAGGCTCTGGCTCTCAGTGTCTGGAGATGTTTCTGTGCTTGGAACACGCCCTGTGGGGACCCTAAACCTTCCTCTACTTCTGCTGCAGCTGCATCCCAGAGGGAAGTGACCAGTGAGGTGCTCAATGCCAGCTGCACTGGGGGTAAAAGAGGGGAGATGTGTTTGGAGGGGATCAGTGGCGGTGCCATGGTGGTTGTTTGTGGCTCTAACTTGTCAGAAGAACCATCCTTATCTTTGCTAAACTGCTTTCCACTGATATTGATGCCTTTTAGGGCACCAGTAGAACTGCAGCATTATCCAAGAAGCATGCTGCCACTTTAACACCAATAACTGAGAGGTTTTGCTCACAGTTCCTCACTCCACCCTGATAGGGTGTGAGCCACACTGCCTATCAATTAAGTGCAAAATAAATAATAGGAAGAAAGTAATATCTTCAACAGTGCATTTGCTGGCACATACATATTTATTAGACAGCAAATAAAATGCTGCTTATATCTTGTTTATGTGCACCATGAAGCCCTGAAGTAATCTGTGGTGTCATGGTTTAAATGGTGGAAGACAGATGCAGTGGTATTGTCACATTCCTCAAAGAAACCTGCCTGACGGAGCTCTGCTTTTTAATTTTCTTTCATAGCCTGGTTTCATTATTGCTGTGAGTCCTGCAGAGGATACCAGGCTTTTCCAAGAACACAAAAGGGAATAAAATTAATTTCTAGGCATAGCTCAGCCTGCAAGTTTTATTGCAACTTTATCCCAGCCATTCCATCTTCAGAGATGAAGCAAAGGGAGACAGGGGGAGCAGGACTTACCCAATGGAGTTGCAATATGTGGGTGAGGTGGGTCAGGAAACACAGCAAGAAACATTTGTGGTGTGCAGCAAGGGGGATGTCTCCTGAAACATGGTTAAATATGTAAACTCTGCCTAGGGAAAATGTTTATTTACCTAGATTGACAGCAATCAGGATAAAAAGCACTCCAGATAAGTGGCTCTTTAGCCAGCTTTAATTTGTTGATGGATGGATTGATGGGAGGATGGTCAAAGAAATGACAACATTACTCTCTGTAATGGAGATATCTTGTCTGCTGGAGTTTGCAGTAGCGTTTGGTCTAATTATTCCTGATCCATCTATGAGCAAACTTCTCTCCCAGTGAGACAAGTTGTCATTCCTTTTCTTTAAATAAAAAGATAGGAAGGTAAAATCAAGAACAATTAGAGCAAAGGATGATGGTATCTTCTGCAGTCAAAAACTTCTACAAAATCATCTGTATTGCTTAAAGGTGGTTTACTGTATTAATTGAAATAGTTGTGCATTCTATTATGCAGTTTGTGTGGGAACAGATGGCCCATTTCACAAATTAAACCTTGTCTTTTTACATTGCTTCAACAGAATAATAGTGAATGAGCATGGCTATTGTAAGTGATCCCAAGTTCAAATCTTGTAGCTTCACAACAGCCTTCACTTTTGGGGGAAAAGCTAGTGTAAAAGCAAGGGAAAAAAAATCACTGAATTGACTCACCACCACGTGTGCTTCACCATGGCCATGGCAAAGACAAAGAGCAGCTCACAAAGCTCCAGTCTTGCTCACACCTTTCCTGGAACACAGCACAGAACAAACTGGAAATGGGCTGTGGGGTGGGAGAGCACGTGGAATTTTGTGGATTGCAGTGGGAACAGTCTCTCAGGCTCACAGCAGAAGCGGCACAGCTGGGAAAGGGTGGCGTGTGGCATTCACATTCTCTGAACCCCAAACTAACCCAGGAGTTGGATGTTTGCTGCAAGAGTGGTCTTTTCAAGGGTAAAAAGCTTTCAGAAGTGAATAGGAGTTTAGCTGGAAGGCTGGATGCAGTTTGGGTGCTCCTTGGGTGTTCAGTTGTTCTCCTGGGGGGTAAAAATTTGGATCTTTTTGGCCTGGGGGGGTCGTGAAGACGTGCCAGCCACTCCTGGGGCAAGTGCACTCGTGTTCAGGGTCTGGAACATGAAACATGAGCCAGGGCATGTTGGAAGAGCCAGTGAGCTCTGGAGAACAAGGGGCAGAGACTGAAGCACAATCCCAGCTGGAAAGCCTCAGAGAAAAATGGAAACAGTAATTATCCGATTTGCTTCTCCTGTGTTTTGCTGCTTTGGAATGTGGTTTGGACATTGTTTACCAACTGGTCATTGTTTGATTTGTTTCATGTGAATTGTTTTAACTTAATAACCAATCACAGCGAGCTGTGTTGGGGCTCTGGAGAGAGTCACAAGTTTTTCATTATTACCTTTTAACCTTCTGTCTGTATCCTTTCTCTATTCTTCAGTATAGTTTTAGTATAGCATTCTTTTATATAATATAGATCATGAAATAAGAAATTAGCCTTCTAAGAACATGGAGTCAGATTCATCATTTCCTGCCTTCGATGGAGGCCTCAGGAAATATCACATGGATTTTTGTGGATTGCAGTGGGAACAGTCTCTCAGGCTCACAGCAGCAGCGGCACAGCTGTGGCACAGAATTCTCTCTCTCACTTCTCTCTTCTCAAAGGTTTTTCTTGGAGAAGCACAAAGAGAAAAAAGAGAAAACAATTCTTACCTTTACTTACTGGTCCTGTTATTTTGCACGTGTGGAATGTGTTAAGAAGATTGTTGACCTAAAGTGAGTTTTTAATTGGACTCCAGTGATAGTTAACCCATTAAAGCAAAACTGTGTCCTAGCTATCTCAAAACTGTATCCTAGCCAGTAAATCAAAGGTTTTTCTTTAGTATGTATCTTTGTATAGTATCCTTTTAGTATTCTTTAACATAGTACAGTATAATGTGATATAATTTAATAAAGCAATTGTTCATCCTTCTGAATCAACAGAGATGCCAACCCTTCCCAGAGTGGGGGATGCCTGGTTTTTCAATGGATAGCGTGTGAGACTGTGCTCCGTTCTGCTGAGCACTCAGAGGGGACTGCTTGCAAAGCACCCTGAGAAACATGCTGCACTCCCTGCAGGAGCAGGAGCTGCCCATCAGCAGCACAAACTGATGGCTCAGGCTTCCTAAGCTGCCTGAAACCTGCTTGCTCCAGGACTGGCAATAAAAGAAGCAGCAGCTGCTCCCCTAGCCAAGGAGGCTGATGCCCCCGGCACAACTGAGGGAAATCCATGGTAACACTTGTTTTTCCTCCCATCAATCCATCCATCAACAGCTGTTTTCCTGGGCTGGATAACCTGCAGCCTTTGAAGGCTCAGGATCAGTTAATTCTAGCTTAGATTCGCCAGATTTGGGTTCACCCATATCAGTGGCACTGCTGGAAGCTGCATCTAGAGTTTTATTTTGTGAGGGCTGAGCTAAGAGGAGCTGCCTGTGAGGTAACAATGACACCAGAATAACTTGGGAATTTTCTGGAAATTGTGTGTTTAAATCTGACTGAAATCCCTCATCGGTGCTGGTGTTCATCTCACATCCTTGCAGAGGCCACCACCATCAACAACCTGAGCATGAACCTCTCAGAGGAAAACCCACCATGGTGGGAGGTGGCAGCTAAATTACTCTGGCACCAAATTCCCTCAGTCTGGACCCATTAAAGGTTGGATTTGCTGAAAACCCCAGAGTCCTCAGGCAGCTCCCATGAGTGCAGCTCTTGTGGGGGAACTCTGGGCACGAGCCCATCCAAAGCAGTTCTGTGAGCCTTGGAGCAGCTGCAGCTACATGACAAGCACATATGCTGCTCCTGGAAATCTAATGTGGAAAAAAAACCCCCAGCCTGGATTGTAGCTTATAGTTCTTCTCGGCAGGGCTGCATGAAGCTAATGGCACAGAAAGCCATTTGGGTTAAATTGTGAAACTGAAAGATGCAGCACCTGCTTTTATGCCTCATGTGTTGCTAAAAATACTTCTTCCCTTATAAAATGCAGCACAAATGACAATACAAAAGGAAACTCTACAGTGGCATTATCAAGAGGGGTTTCATCAGTGTGCCTGTGCACAGAAAGGTGAAATCAGAGACAGCAGAAACAGCAGACATTGTTATGTCAGTGCTAAACCCTTGGTGCATCCACACCTGAGATAAGTCCTTGCCCTCCTGTCCTCTCACTGTAAAAAAGTGCAGAGTGATAAGTTTTAGACAAGAGACACGAAATGTTCCAAACTGTGGAAAAGCTTCCCTATGAGGAAAAACCAAACAGCATCAAGCTATCCTGAAAAAGAGACTCCTGAAGGGAGAGAAGCATGGCAAAAGAAGGTGTGGAGGAGGCAGACCAACCTGTGAAATGCTTTCCACAGCCAGATGGGAGAGAGGCCTTCAGGAACCAGCAAAAGTGCTGAGTTTAGCAGAAATGCAGCTTTCCAGGGGAGCTGTGGGGGTGAGATGAGGTTCACACAGGGGACAGCAGCCCCTTGGTGCCAAGGCCACCCACCTGTGCCCAGCCATGTCCTTGTCCCCAGCCCCTTTTTTGGTGGGTGCAGCTCACAGGATGCAAACGCCACAAATATTCTTCAGCATTTTCCTCTTCCCTCCTCAAAATCCAGAGAAAAGCCCTGACTCAAGAATTTTTTTTTTTTAACCAGTGGGAAGGGAGCACTGGCAGAGAGTATGAACCCCTGCAGAGATTTTACTTTTGCTATTGATTTTATGCGTGAGGTGCTCAGGTACTCTGATGGTATCTGACAGTATAAGGAGCCAGAGAGAGAACAGAAAGGCTAATACAGTAGCAATGTCACCAGAATAACTTGGAAATTTTCTGGGAATTGTGTGTTTAAATCTGACTGAAATCCCTCATTGTTTATCAAGAAGGGAAGTGTTTCAACAGCAACAACAACAACAACAACAAATCATCCTTCCCTTGAGAATTTTTAATTTTTTAATTGTTTTATTCTGCAAGAAAGGAAAAGGA